TCTTTTGTGGTCCCCACGATAATTTTCCCCGCCAAAACATTCACGGGTTCGTAGGAGGCACCCAGACCTAGGGGAAGACTGAATTTAAAATTGCGTAGTTGTACTTGGGCAGAGGATATTACCGCAAAATTTCAGCTTCCTAGCTTTTGTGATTCGCGAGATAATGCCCTGAAATTTAAGCTCCCCAGCTTTTGTGGTTCCCAAGATAATTTTCCCTGTCAAAACTTTTACGGGGCCATACGTGATACCCAGGCACGGGGAAAGGCTGAATTTAAATTTGCGGGGTTGTATGTAGGCAAAGCAGATTATCGTAAAATTCCACCTTCCTAGCTTTTATAGTTTCCGAGATACTTTTCTCCTACCAAAACTTTCACGAGGTCGTAAATGATACCCAAGGGCAGTGGGAAGCTGAAATTAAATTTGCTGAATCACACGTGGGCGGAGAAAATCCTCCTAAATTTTCAGCTTGCTAACTTTTGCGATCCCCGAGTTAAAAGCAGCGAGTAAGATGCAACAAATATACATGTATGTATATACATGTATATTTGTTGCATCTTGCCACACACACACACAGATAACTCGGTGACAAAATGTGTTTTGTACAGCTGCTGCATAGCATAAAATGCATAAAAACTGCCACAGCAGGGGAACATAACAATAGACCCCTTTTGCAATTTTTTAGGATTTGCTTTCTGTACACCGAAACAAAGGGCGGTCGCTTCTCAGATTGAGAGAGAGCATGACAGAGAAAAGCCTGCCTAGCAGCGGTCAAAATATCGTAGATCTCGTTCTTCGCTTTCACATTTAACGCAAGCTAACCCCATCTTGCTTGCCTGAAATCTTCGTGGGACCAGGTATTGCCAACAAAAAGTTTGTTCTTATTCGTCTCTGTTGCTAGTCATCACCTCTACTATTAAAATTACCTGCAACAGCCGTGTATCTGCAAATATGACGAATGGAGAAATTCACGCGCAGTGTGCTACAACTCAGATTTGCAATTTTTCCGTCCTTATTTTTACCACACTTCGCAGGTTGGAAGTTGGAAATTCTGTTTTTAATCAGGCTAGAAAATGTATAACTTACCGACTTGTGCTCTTTTCCGAGTCGGAAGGTACCCTAACGGCACTCGGTTTCGAGACACCTAAGCCAGTCGAAGACGGGGAAATGCATGATTCAGCGAACTGCAAAACAAGCTTTGATAACATTTCATCCGTATTTTCTAAAAACTGTCTAACAAGAATATAAAGGTGGCCCTGAAACCGGTGTGATCACATGTTCATGACATTGCCGATGCGGCTATACCAGGCACATCATCCTAGGCTGCACACCTCCAGTTAATATCCACTGCCTGTCCGACGTATGAATGCCATCTCTTCAACGATCAACTGACGGGTCGTTTGGGTCCTGGCCGATGCCACCTCACTAATGCGTGTGTCCAAAAGTTGACAGCAAGGCAGGTGAAATTTCCTGTGCATCAGATCTAATTTCCTCGCATGGCCGCAGCGACATCCTACACACCGCTCATTTAACAGATAGCGTGAATGCCTATCTTGTCACGAAGAGACACTCCATATATCCATTGCTCTATTGTTCTCTCAGTAGGCTAGCGTTCGTTCTGCTTTCGTCATGGACCATTTTTCGTGTTTGCAGATGACTTCTTCCAGTAGACTGATACCGAGAAAGTGGGCGCGGTCCTCGATGTTGTGAAACTTGCGCCAATCGGTAGCTCTTCCAGGTGCACTGCCTGATGTATATTCACCTCCCGAACAAAACAAGTATAGCTGTTATCTTCTTCCAAATCAACACTGGCTGCCGCCAAATCGGTACAAGCATCAGCTTCGTTTCCGATATGTTAATTTTTAAGGTACATTTCCATATTTCGATATGCTGAGATCATTCAACATTTCAATTAGTTCGCGAGGGCTTCCAGCAATGAAAACCGTATCGTCCGCAAAGCACAGCTGACTTAGCCATCAGCCATTAATATCTAGCCAATCACATAATCAAGATTATGAAATTCCAATTGGAGGCAAGACGTGAAAAGCTTGAGCGATATAGAGCCAAACTGTCTGACGCCTCTAGCCGAAAAAGTGCTCAGCCCGTCAAAAAGTTATTGTTCGCTTCTTTACAAAAAAATTTATTTACAGAACAAAAATGCACAGTTGTATCATGAAATAAATGGCCAGCCCGCCAACTGTCGCTGCGAAGGTGCGTTTTTAGTATAGTTCTCCGCAGATTTTTTTCACTAACGGCACCGGTTTTCCTGGCAACTGTTACTAGCTAAGATAATTGAGACTAGCCACCAGGGTTGTCTGAAAACACCCCTTTAAAATTTCAGCTTTTTAGCTTTTCTAGTTTCCGAGTTAGTAAATTACCCGCAAAAAACTTTCACGGGCCCATACACAGGAACCACGCATACCCAGGGGCTGGGTTTGAACTCATTAATACCTACGTGGATGTGGAACATCCTCTTGAAATTCCAGTCTTTTAGCTTCTCAGGTTCCTGAGTTAAAACCTACCCGGAACTTTCACGGACCCACACGTAGGTACCACGCATATCCGAGGGCTGGGGTTGAACTCATTAATACCTGCTTGGACGGGGAACACCCCTTCAAATTCCAGTCTTCTAACTTTTCAGGTTCTCGAGTTGGCGAATTAGTCGAAAAAAACTTTGGTGAGCCCGTACGTGAGTATCACGTATTCCCGCGGACTGCTTTGAAGCTCATTAAGACTTACGTGGACGGGAAACATCCCTTTAAAATTTCAGTTTTCTAGCTTTTCTGGTTCCCGAGTTAGCGACTTATCTGCAAAAAACTTTCACAACGTAAGTAGGTACCACACGGGTACATGCATTTAGATTAATTTCCTAAAGTTTCAGCCCTGTAGCTTTTGTAGGTATCGAGATAGATAATTTCCCCGTCGGAAGTTTTACGAGGCCGTATGTGGTACCCGCAGGCACGGGAGGGCTGAATTTAAATTTGAAGGGTTGCACTTGGGCAGGGAACAGTCTCCTAAAATTTTAGCTTCCTAGATCCGTAGTTCGAAGATAACAATTTTCTCTTCCAAAAACTTCACGGGGCCGTACTTGTTACTGAGGGGCAGGGAGAGGCTGGATTCAAATTTTCTGGGTCGCACATGGGCGACAAACATGCCCATAAAAATTCAGCTTCCTAGCTTCTGTGGTTCTCGAGTTGAAAATTGCGGACAACATGCATGTGACAAATGCGCGCACACACACACGCACATACACACAATCCCGTGACAATATGCAGCTGTTGCACAGCACAAAGAGCATGAAAAAGGAGTTTTTACTGGTGAGGAGCACTAGGATAGAGTTGAAAAAGTCAGAGTGGCGCCAATTTGTAAATAAATACAAGCTTTTAAAGCTCACAATAAAACACATTCAATATGCCCGGATTCCGTCCCTTAAATGAGACGGATCGGAAGCTCTCGCTACCACTTCTGAAGATTAACTACAAGGTAGGCTGCGTATTTTATCGCCCAGCGGCAATACATAAAAAGTAATTTGTAAAACAAAGGAAGCTTTAAATCACGACGTTCCATATAAATCAAATAACTGTGCATGTGGCAAAATAGGAAATCATTATGACGCCTGCTCAGCGTTTACGGATGCAGTAGTGATGTCGCCTGAAAATTCCTAAACTCTTCCAATCTCTCTAATGAATAGCTCCAGTCCCCGCTCGCCACTGCAGGACCTCTCTGAAAGGCTTCGACGTGAACAGTATGTCTAACTGATTCAAAAGTATCGAAGAAGGCCCTTCTCGCCAGTACCGCAGATTCTTAATTTACTGAATGGAACACTTACATTTGGAGTTTTCAAGGCATTAGTTCCCAAAATCCTTCGCAAAATATGTGCTTTGTGGATACCGTCAGCTATTGCCAAACAGGTGTCACGATTTTCCGGAGTCCATGAAGCACGCAAATCATAAATTGTAAGTCGATGC